ATTAAAAATTTTTGCAATTCAAAGGAGAGCAGAGCAGAGCCCAGGGTGCAGTTTCAAGCCTGTGGATCCTGGGAAAGCTTGGCCTTAAAAGAACTTGGGGCCACCAAAAGGAAGGTCAACACTGCTCAGCAAGACTGTGCCCATCCTTGCTGACCCTCCCATACCTGATGCGGGACTAGATCATCATTATCATCAGGCTACATCTCTTCTACCATGGCTATAGAGAGAGTGACTGTGAGAGACCTCTTTCTACACTTTGGGGTTAGACGGACTTCCTACAGGTCCACAGAGGTAGAGAATCTGCACTGTCCACATTGTGAAGACCTATATATCATAAGATCAGCAGCCATGGAACCCCAATAAGCAAATCAATCAATAAATAAATAATTAATGCCACCCCGAAGGGAATCTAGAAGCCAAGGTGGGTATGGGGAGGAGGAAGAAAAAAAAAATTTCCTACATCAAATTAGAGATGTTGAAAAAGACAGAAAACAACTAGGATGAAACTTGGCACTCAAGGATATTTGAACAAAGACACACACAAACACACACACCCTGGGAATTAAAATAAATATAATATTTTTAAATTTCACTGAATGATCTAAAGGAGAGAATCATCACTGATTATCCTTAAATAGTAGCCTAGAATATTATGTAGATGAAATATCTCAAACTACAGAGCAAAAAGATTGAGATAGAAATTAGGAGAGAAAATAAGAGATATTTGGAAGTTTGATCTAGGAAACAAACCTAACATGAATAATTGGAGATCCAGAAGAAGAATTAGAAATAAAGACAATAATTGTATATTTTTTAAAAAGCAGTTTCTCTAAGCTAAAAGAAAACTTGAGTTGCAGATTCAAAGAACTCATCAATTCTGGGAAAATTCCTGAATTGCAAAAATGACAGAGAAAAATCTTCCAGACTTTATAGACAACAGTTACTACAATGAAAAAATAATGATTTTGGCATTAGCATCCAACTTCTCATTTGTAACAAGATATTTGGAAGAAGTTTGTTCTAGGAAACAAACCTAACATGAATAATTGGAGATCCAGAAGAATTAGAAATAAAGACAATAATTGTATATTTTTTAAAAAGCAGTTTCTCTAAGCTAAAAGAAAACTTGAGTTGCAGATTCAAAGAACTCATCAATTCTGGGAAAATTCCTGAATTGCAAAAATGACAGAGAAAAATCTTCCAGACTTTATAGACAACAGTTACTACAATGAAAAAATAATGATTTTGGCATTAGCATCCAACTTCTCATTTGTAACAATGGAATGAAAAATGATGGCACAACAACATCATTATATTGCTAAGAAGAATGGGTGCAACTCAAGCATGTAATACATAATTTATCTGACAAGTATTAAAAAAGATTTTAGATAACAAAGAAGGATTGAGATTTAATATTAACCATGCATCCTATCTGAGGAAAATACTAAAATATTTCTCTAGTCAAAAAATAAATCATAACCATAACCTCAGGATGGAAAATATAAAGGGAATAGGAAACTGTGAGCACTAAACCTTTCAATATATATTCACATCCATACATGCATGCATACACAGTGAGAGTTACACCTGCATGATTAATGATAGGCTATTTGGGTACCTATAAATCCATCTACACATGTTCACACCCACAAATTCACATATATGAATAAATATTAAGTACAGATTCTTGAAATACAGGAAAATATAATGCAATATAATGTGCTACCAACATTTTTTTCTACAGTAATAGCACAATCTACAGAAATGAAGCTAGGTTGTCTTTAAGAAATAAATTCTAGAAAATTAGTCTAATTTATTAAGATGAATGCTTGCCCTAGATTGGACCTCTTACCCCAACGTGGTAGCACTCCTGTCAGACTTTGACCAGGAAAGCAAGTGTTGTCTAGTCCGTCTTTTTGCGCAATACCAAAACCTTTTAATTAACCTGTAGTGTTTTGTTTGGGTTTTGTTTGTTTGTTTTTTCAGTATTTTAGCCTTGCAGCAGTCTTATGTTACTATTGCAGTGTTTTCCCATTTTTATCTCCTCTTAACAGTCTCTCAAGTATAAAGCAAGGATGCCTTTCTTTAAGAAATACATATTGTCCGAATGCAAAATAAAAAAAGAAAGTGATCTTTAAAGAACTCTTTTAATTCACAATAATCATTTAGTTGAGTTGTCCTAAGCTAATTTTACTTCAATATACTTGAGAATCTACCTGAAATTCCTCATGCAAAAAGCTTTTTGATGCTCCATATAATCAACCTGACCAAGATAGCAGCTGTATGTTTCAGAGAGATGTTTGTTACAATTATAACAATGTAAACATGCCCCTAATTTTAGTTGTTCATAGAGGCCTTTAAAATCACTGAACAGAATTTTGAAAGCCTAAGTGGCTCCCAGCATATTTGCAAAAATTCTCAAAGTTAGACTTTTCTTGAAGATACAGCTCTTTTCCAAGGAAGGAATAAAGATAGAAAAGATTTGGCTTTCAAGAATGACATACTGAAATAGTGAGATAAAGTTTAATAGGAAAAAAGATGATACCAAAGTAGATTCAAATATCACCCATGAGTTTGTAGGGGAGACAGAACTTTACCTCTCCTTTCTTAAAGTCTGTGGCTGGGCCTCAGAATTATACTGACATAAGTCAGATCAACAGGAGAAAAGCATATAGGTTTTTATGTATACATGGGAGCCCCCATAGGAAAATGAAGACCCTAAAAGCAGATAGGCCCATGTGTTTATATACTAGGTTGAACGAAGAGTAGTATTTGTGAAAAAGTATCTAAAATGTATGGGGAAACTAAAGGAAAATAAGAGTTATTTTAACAAGGTTTGTATGTATGGATTTCTCTCACTGGACTCCCCACTTCTGGTGATAAGAATGTTTCTTTCCTCCTGGTGCAGGGAGAACAGTTTTTTCATGGGAGTTTTATCTCCTGCTTTCAGGAAGAAAAGGGGGCTCAGAGTGTCCTTCTTGCACCTGCTGTTTTTCAAGTGCCTTTAGGTCAAAATAACCTTTATGTCAAAATGGTATATATTTTGAAGTTATTCTGATATCCTTCAGGTAGAAGCCTTAGGGTATGCTGCCATCTTATGCCACTGGGTTTTATTAAATGTCAAAGTAACTAAAGACATCCTCATTGTCACTAAAGGTAGCAGCCAAATTGGAAGTACATTTTTAGTTTGAGCCAATGCAAGTAATCTTTTATGACTAGGTGGGTTTTCTGTACTCCTCAGGCCACACCTTGAAAGTATCACAGCTGAAAAACTATTTCAACACCTCAACCGACCACAGAAGGTTGGTAATGGGACTAAGTTTATTCTGTGATTATAAAACACATGTATGCATCCTGTGTAACAGACACTAAGCTAAGTACAGAAGACAAGGTAAAACAGATTGCCACCAGGAGCTTTCCATCTGTTCTGTGAGAGAGACCTTCTGTAATTGATGTACCAGGTGAGGCTGGCTGGCAGTGTGGTTACACACCCTGGCTTCAGAGTTTAAATGCCTCTGTCCGAAAGCCCACTCTAGTTGCTTACTAGCCGTGTAAATGTGTAATGGCAAGCCGTTAAATCCTCCTTAAATCCTCAGTCTTTATTCTTGTATTAAGAAGAGGCTTTTAGTGGCATCTAGCATGTATGTATTGGATAATACATATCCAACCAAAACTACTGTTATTTACATTATCAGGAAATGGAGACAAAAGAGCAGTGCCCCTCAAAAACTTAAACTCAGAGGAAATAAAGATTGTTCTTTAAGAGTTTAAATATAACTTCACGACAGATTGAATCAGAGGTAAGAGTCTCAAGGTGAATTTAAAAACTGGCTATTGCCCCAACCAAAAAACACATAGAATATATACTTATATTCTGTGGAAGGTACATGCATTCATTAAAGTAGAAAGAATAGAATGACCTCCTTTACCTATCCCTTAATGTGAACAATTACGAACATGTCTAAAAGGGGTTAACATAATAAAAGGGGCAATAACCTGCTGAGAAACTACCACCCGCCTGAATCTGGATCCCTCCACACACTTGAGTGATCTTAGTTCACTAAACTCTAATCTAACATAGGAATAAAAGCACTCATGGTGTTATGCTGTGAAAATTACATAATAACGTCTCTGAATCCCTTAGCACAAAGCCCAGCCTATGGAAGCCATTTGGTATATTTTTGTTAGCTGTATATGGATGTTAGAAAAAGGAGAGTCAACCAGCCCGTCTACACACAGGGAAGGGGAGGTTTGACAGCAGATGCCCTGTCCTCCTATTGAGGTGGTTTTTCCTGCCGGTTACATGGACACTTCCCTGACTGACACATTTAAACATCTGATGTATACAGCTGACTGCCCTTGGTCAGATGTCGAGTCCACTAAGCAAGTGCACTGAGGGACATAATTAATCATTACGAAATGAATGAATTGACGTTCTTCTCTCCTGTGTAATCGCTGCTCTTTTTAGGTTAACTTGGGGTGAGGCCAGTGTCTAGGATGGGGTGGGGTGGGGCAAGCTTTGATTTATGGAAAGGAAGCACAGACCACCCTTGTGAAGGGGTGGAGAGGGAGTGGCTGTTGAGCCCCCAGGAGGCACCCGGGTAGAGGACAGGCCCTCTCTGTGGAAATTAGAACTGCAGTAGGGATCCCAGAGCTCCGCTGTCCCCCAACCCAGGAGACAGTTCACTATGACCACCTTGATTAATGACCACGAAACCTGTTAAAACATTTTAATGATCATTTTAAAAGTAAAGTGGCAGGAGATTTCATTCGTTTGTCCCCCGTCAGTGCAGCTAGGGAGGCTGCAGTTAACTCCTGGGTAGTTAGTCTCTCAGGTCAATAACCAAGGTCGCAGGTGTGGCTCTGTCGGGTCTTTCCTAAGGAAAGAAGGACAAAAGTTTCAGAGGGAGATTCAGTTCTTCGCTGCCGTGCAGATGCGGCTATTCCCGCGTCCCAGCTCTTCGTCCCTACGCGCTGACAGTATGTCCTTGTGCCCGCAGAGCCCCGTGGCGCTGACCGGGACACGCAGCAAGCCGGCGCGCGCGGCTTCTCCGGCTGCCTCTCAGCGGTGCGCTTTGGCCCCGCCACCCCGCTGAAGGCGGCGCTGCGCCCTGGAGGTCCAGCTCCGGTCACCGTCCGCGGATATGTAGCCCCGTCGCGCTGCGCCCAGGCGGCGGGGCCTGGAGCCCCAGCGCGGGAGGCGACCCGCCCATTCGCAGGTGGCGCAGGTGCGTGACCCTCTGCCCGCAGTCTTCCATCAGGTCTCCGTCCTGGAAGTTGCCAAAAGTCCTCGGCTGGTTCACCTTCCCCTTCTTTGGTCTCTCCATTCTCTGTTCTTCGTTTCACATTTGTTTCTACCGATGCAGTTGTCTGCTTTTATTTCTAGTATTTGTGAATTTCTCAAAAGTCCGCCTTTCCACTCGCCTCTGTCGTTCTGCATTTTTCTACTGTAGGTCGTTCTGGACCAACAGATGAGGGAGAGCCCTTCGTCAATGCGGACAGAAGTGGCTCCGCGGTCCTCGGAGGTAACAGGGCCGCGAATGATCTGGTCTTTGGTGTTATCACTGTTAGCATAATCCAAGAAAAATATGAGACTCAATGATCGCGACGTCAATGGCAGGCCATACACATTTGCTGACAATCTTGATGTATTTCTACTGAATTCAGCATCTCTGGAGAAGGAACTGATGGTTCCACTGAAACACTTTTTAAAGAACTGTTGCCAAACTATAATGAGAAGGTCTTTTATTTGAAAATAACCATTAATATAGTAATACTTCTCAGTATATATAAATATATATGTGTATGAATATACATATATACACACAAACATATATCTGTATACGTTTATATATGTATATATGTTCATATGTGTGTGTATATATATATATATATAAATGCAATATATATCGTTTTTTCGCTTCAAGGTAGCCATGGACCTCTCGATCCATCAGCCCAAAACATTTTCAAATAATATTAAAAATAAAACATATTAGGAGAAGCACTTAAACTATGTAAATTGGCATTTTCCTAAACATAAAGATAAAAAACTGTTTTTGGTGTTAATCCTAATTTAGGAGGCTACATGTGGAGAGAGAGAGAGAGAGAGAGAGAGAGAGAGAGAGAGGAGAATTGCATCTTAAATATCTTCCAATATATTCTCTGAAATCAAATTTATCTAGGTCTGAGTCCAAAAATGAATGTTCAAATCCCCCCTATCATTCAAAGACATTTTAATATGTTTAATTAGATTATTAAAATGTGAGTCAGATGCAAACTCTCCTTGGCGAAGAGGAAGTAAACTGCTCTCCATTCCACTGCTGCCACAATAACTTGTAATTACTCATAGAGCTAGGGTACTGACTGGGTGTCCATTGTTCAAGGAGCTGCACACCTGCTCAGATTGGATCTATTTATTCACCAGCATTCTATTCCGACACAAATTTTCTCTAGACAATTAGGAAATATTCAGACATTTTAAAAGGCTGACTAAATCTATGTAAGAATGTTAACATTTCCATTCCTATCTCAACTACTTTATTTCTGTAGTGAGTGAGGCATTTGACCTCAATTTTAAAACTAGAAGAAACAAAACATAAATGTTATTTATAGTGTATATTTGAAAAGAATACTTTTGTGTTAAAATTTAAAAGAAATCTTATTCCTAAATTAATATGTTTTTAATGAGATTTTGCTATAAAGCTAATTTAAAATAAATCACCTTAATGTGATTAATATTTCCCAAGAAAGAGTTCAAAAATTTGCAAAATATCATAATTGCCCTTTCATTAGAGAGAACGAAGATAATAATAGTCAACTGGGTGATAGAACTGTATTGCTTTAGAGCTTTATTGCTTTTGACTAAATATCATTGGCAAGATATACAAAGTAAATAAGTTGCACCAGTGTTATTCCCCTAAGAAATCCTACTGGCTCCTGATAGAGGAAGGGAGAACCACACCACAGAAGGTCTCAGGGACATAACAGCTCAGTTTACCAGGCCCGTATAGTCTGCATTTTGCATTATTTTGTACTCTTGCAAACAAAGAGAATGGTATAAGAAAAGAGAATTAACCTAAACAACATTCAAACCAGGTAAACCAGAAATCACAAAGGGTTTCTTTTATATATAATATATATATATTAGTTTTTCAATTACAGTTGACATATAATATGTTAATTTCAGGTGTACAACAGTGATTAGATATTTATATAATCACTACGAAGTGATCACCTCGATAAATCTAGTACCTATCTGACACCATACACAGTTATTAGAGTATTGTTGACTATATTCCCTATGCTATACTTTACATCCCCATGACTATTTTGTAACTACCAACTTGTACTTCTTAATCCCTTCCACTTTTTCATCGCTCTTCCCAACACCCTTCCATCTGGCAATCATCAGTTTGTTCTCCCTATTTATGAGTTTGTTTCTGGCAAGGGATCCATAATGTAGATGGATAGATGGATGAATAGAGAAAGAGACAGATGTGTAGACAGTCAGGCAGACATGAGTTTGTCAAAAACACATTTACATAGGAGTTGCTGTTGGGAAAGTTCCAGAATGTGTCAGATCCATTATTTAAATTATCTCAATCTCTTCAGATAGTGAATGAAGATTGAAGTTATTTAGGACCCACCACTCACAAAACAATCACACATGTGAAATCCTGGCTATTTTGGTATAATGCTGACAGTAATTGTTTAACTAAGTTGCCTGATAGTTGTAATTCAGTTACTGATTCCTAACAGTAAAACTAGACATGATATAGCTCTTTAAAGCAAAGTTCTATAACTAAAAATGATTAAAGCAATTCTATTGTTTGTGCCAATTGAGATGCAAAATATATTGCAAGTAATGATTATTTTATTTATGAATATTTAAGAATATTCACAACCTCATGAATATACTACCTCATCTTATCTAAGGGGGACTCTGGGCTCCTGATGGCACATGCTCAGGAATTCCTGTGACCAATTAATTACATGCAATCAAGCTTTGAGTTTGTCAGATTTCACTACACTTGCTTATGTCTGTCCCAGAGTATAATGAAGAACTCGTTTACAGTACAAATTTGATTCACATAACTAGATGCGTTTTCTAACATTTGCTAATTGGAAATATTAATTCCTATGTGAATAATCTTACAAGTATATTTACTAGTGAATGCTTCTTTATATATATCTATATATATCTAGATAGGTAGATAGATAGATAGATAGATAGATAGATAGATAGATAGATAGATAGATAGATAAATAGATAGATAGATAGATAGATAGATGATAGATATAGATAGATAGACTGAACATTCATTCTTCACTAATATGATAGCTTGAGTAAACATTTCTCAGCCTAGCTTAACAGTCTCAACCCCGGCAATGCTTTAAAATAATCTGAGAGACATTTAAAACAATATTGATGTCCAGACCTCACACCCAAAGATTCTGAGTTATTGTCATGCAGCCAAGGTTGAGAACCACTGGCAATGCTAATATTTTTAATACTTAAAACATTTCCAACAAGAGATGTCAAACAATCTCTTTCCATCTAACTGAATGTTATCAATACTATGGTATAGTAGTTATCTATTGCTGCATGATAAATTATCACCCACTAAACAGCTTAACCTAACTCACATTTATTATCTTACATTTCTGTGGGTCAGGAGTTTGGGCACAGCTCAGTGGGGTCCTGTGTCAGGGACTAATGAAGCTGCAATCGAGGTGTCAGCCAGGGCTGGGATCTCATCTGTAGGTTCCACTAAAAAACCTTGCATGTTTGGTGGCAGAATGCAGTCTCTTGCAGCTGTAAGACTGAGAGCATCTGGATTTTTGCTGGCCACTGGCCAGAGCCTGCCCTTAACATATAAAAGCTGCCTCAGTTCTTGCCATGTGGGATTTCTCAGCATGGCTGCTTGCCACCGTGCAGCTAGCAGGAAGAGAGGTGCCACTATCTTATGTATGTAACATTATCACAAAGTCAGGGGCAGGTAATTAGGGACAGCTCATCACCTTTGTCTCTTTTTATTGATGAAGCAAGTCACAGGCCTCACTTACAAGGAAAGGAGGAGACTGCACAAAGGCATGAACCCTCGAGGCAAAGATCACTTAAGACTCCATTGGCCTAGTAGAGATAGATGATATATATATATATACATCACAATACTGTAGGTCAGCAACACATCGCATCAAAATTAAATCAAATTGTCATTAAAATACTTATACATAATCATTTAATTACTGCATGACAGGCCTATACATTCAATACTCTTAAAATAATTTGCTTGCTCATTAGCATGACAATAACCTGCTTGCTCATTAGCATGACATGTAGGCATGACCTAAGATGCTGTACTGTGTCTCTGAATTTAAGTGTGACTACACTAAGTGAAATCCAATCGTGATCTGTCTAGGATAAAGGCATAAAACTGCTGTATCTAAAGGTCGTATGGACTTAGAAGTAAACTTTGTAATACCCTTGGTTTCAAATTTTCTGATGTTATATAGATGTCCCTCAACTTATGATGAGATTACATCCCAATAAACCCATTATAAATTATAAATATCATCAGTCAAAAATGCATTTAATACACCTTGCCTACTGAACAGCATAGCCAGTCTCTGCTGAATGCGTAGCACTTTCTCACCATCATAAACTCAGAAAACCTCAAGCCAAGTCACTGTAAGTTCGGGATCATCTATATGTATGATATGAATGATGCTAGGATAGGTTTTAGTTAGACTGACATTTACAGTTTATATTCTGACTGTGTTTTTCCTTTCTCTTCTCTCACTAGGTGTGATAGCAGTTGTGATATTTATCTTGCTCTGTACCACTGCCATAGCAATACGTATTTATCAACAGGGATGGGTGTACCAAAAAAATGAGTCAAATATTCAAAAAAATGGAGACAATGCTGAGACTGCTCTGAAAAGTGAACTCAACATGCAAAGTACAGTCAATGAAAGCCAGAAAGAGTATTTCTTCTGATCAGCAGTAGTTTTACTTAATTCTATAATTATGTGACTTTCTTGTTAAGCAATTGGCTCCATGAAACCCCCATCTTGTCTTCTTGGGACAAGTAGTGGTGTGCAGAACCCTCAATTTGCTCACACCCAGTCCTGGGAGGCTTTGCTCAGTACCCTTTCATGATCTATTTATGTAGCGGTGACTTAGGTGTACTCATTAATCACTGTTTGGCAGTTTCTGATGATTCTGACCTGATCTTCTAAAACTGAAATGTATTTGCATAATGACTTTGGATTTTAAGTGAGAACAAGAATTTGAGCTGCAGCCCTACTCTCTTAAAAATGTGACACAGAAATTTATAAAAGACTAAGTTTGACTCTAATGTTTCATTTTGTGGAAACCTATGTTATGCTTCATTTATCAATGCCCTGCTGACATAGGTATACCAGGAGTGCTTCTCAGATGGCCTTCAGGTGGGTTTCCATATTCCTGTGAACCAGAGCCCAGTGACCAAAAATGCATTAGAAACCTGGGGAAAAAAATCTCACATTTTTTGGCTGATTGTTTTATTACTTATCTCTTTTAAATCAGTTTGGATATATGTTAGCAATGAAATGAGTACTGAATGTCAGCTCTGAAATTCTAGTATTGAGTTTAGTTATGGAACAGAAAATTCATAGGTAGCATTCCAATCTGCTATAATTTGCTTATCTTTCTTTGTAATTTGTCATTATAGTCTTTTTAGATTATAATAACGATCACCTAATGATTCCACAAAAATGTGCGTTTTGTAGTTGCGCCGATATAAACTCTATATTAACATTGCAAATGTATCCTTCATCCACTTCATCTAAATGAAATATAATCCTAAATTTATTTCCTTTAAATGTGGGGTAATTGGGTCACTTTTCTTTGTAGTCTTGTGATTCTCTTTTTCTGAAGGTTATCCACAACAATCTTTTGATTTCTTGTGACTGTCTTTTCATTTATTAGGAGAAAAGTCACATTTTGACGTGAAGTTCTCCATTTCCCTTTCTAAATTTTGAAATGATCAAGCGTACCACTCCCTGAATTACCATCTCAACTAGTTACTATTTGGAATATCACTTGAAGGATGTTTATGCTAAGAGAGATGTAGATTGTATGATCTGAATTAAATCTGTCATTCTAATCAAGATTCTGGGATTTGGAGTCAGTTTTCAATAGAGCACACGAAATTGACCAGTTCATTTCCTAGTAGGGTATATTCACTTACTAGAAGAACAAGAGTTCATATTAACTATGGTAATTGTTTCATTTACTACTTTTGTGACAGGGTCATTAGATAATTAAATGGAGCCACAGTTTGCACACAATAGCCAATTACAATAAAAATGTGCTGCACTCTCCCTACCCCACCTGCTGTGTGCCTGCCAGGTGTTACATTACTTACTTTGACCACAGCAAGACCACTGGAACCATGTACCTTCAGCCTTGCTATTTCTTTGATTGTGTATTTCTTTTCTGTGTTCTTTTTAAACAATGGGAAAAGATATGCTCTGTATTAATTCTTTTCTCAAAATTTTTTTTCTTCTGGTTTTATATTAGTTTTCTATGAGGTGTAACAAACTACCACAAATTTAGTGGCTTAATACAACATATGTTTATTATCTCATAGTTTCTGTGCATCAGGAGCTGGGCACCGGTCCACTGGGTCCTCTGAAAGGCTGCAATCAAGTGTCAGCCAGCTGTGTTCTAATCTGGACAGTCAGCTGAGGACAAATTAGCTCCCTGCTCCCCAGGTTATTGACACCACTGAGTTTTTTACTACTGGAGGTTTCGTGAAAGCTTGCTTCTTTAAGGCTAGCAAAGGACAGAGAAACTCTAGTGTAAGTCTGCTGGCAAAAGGAAGTCTTATATAATGTAATCGGATCATAGAAGCAACACTCCGTTACTTTTGCTGGATTCTATTGGTTAGAAGCAAGTCATAGGTCCTGCTCACACTCAAGGGTAGGAATTACATGAAGACATGAACCAGCAGGCTGCGATCATGGGGGCCACCTTAAAGTCCATCTGCTACAACACTATCTATATTGATGTCTCTTTATATGAATAACGAAGGATTTTCAGGATCTCAGTGTAGTAATATATGAAGGGCCTGCCTTGGTGAATGATATACATACTTTTTTCCCAAAGGTCTATGCAGATTAGAGAAGGATTCAGTGCAAAAATGATAGGCTCTGTTTAATGAGTAACTGAGTGTGAACATCATTACAACTTTAACAAGTGATCATCTTATATTCTAAAAGAATGCATCTCTTTGGTAGCTAAAATTGTACAGATAGTGAGATTTATAGATAGTGAGATCCACTGCACTCTGCTGTCTTTTCTTTTTCTTTCCTTTCTTCTTCTTCTTTTTTTTTTTTTTGGACGTAGTTTTTTATTTTTATTATGCTGTCTTTTCTAAAGGGAAAATAAAATATTTGTATCAAATGACAGTGATGTGATGAATCATTTATTTTCCCTTACTGATTTGTAAACTTTAACTGCTTATGTGTTAATAAAATAACATTTTTAAATTAAATTAGGAAAATATTTTTAAAGAGTTTAATAAAACTGGAATTATAAAATTATATTGTTTTTCCCCTAAATATTAAAAAATGTGTAAATGTATACATTCTGTAGTAGTGTGTTTTACTTTATCTCTACTATATATAGGTAATACTATAGGTATTACTATACTTTACTTTATCTCTACTATATATAGGTAATTACCTATATAGGTAATACTATGATCTGTTAATATTATTTATGTTGATATTTAAATACAAACACAAAGTAGTTAATATCTACTGCTTACAAGAAGTTAAAATACCTATAAATGTAGATATTTATACCTTTGCCAGAGAACAATAATTTAACAATCAGTAAGTTATTTGTTGAACATTTACTATACACTCAAAACTGGTTAAAAATGATTTTCCCAAGAGAATTGGGTTTCTAGAGCACTAATTAAATATACAGATTCCAGTTGCAAATAGCATTTTTCTACAGAATAAAAGTTAAAAGATAATAAGTCCCCATTTTTATTTCCAAATAGAAAGGAAAATAACATACAAATAACAGTCATCATTGGGACTAGAAGTTAAGAACTTTGCTTCCTCCATAATGAAGTGAGGCCCCCTTCACTGCTTTCTCAGTATTATTTAGCAACATAGAAAAACATATTGGGGCATTTATATTCTGTTTGTCTAGAATAACCACGATTTATAGAACTTTTTTTTTAACTTTTTTATATAGGACATTTGATAGATATTTGGTTTCAATAGAATTTTAAAAAATAAACTATGAAGTTCATGGACCTTGCCTTGAGATAAGACAAATATAATGAAGCACTTTTCACCAACATAAATTACTTCTGACTATGAAATTGGATTATCAAAATATTCTTCAAACAAGAGGGATGATATGGAAACATATTAAATGAAAATATGTTGCTTAGTTTGCTTAATCTACTATTTTGCAATCCGTGTAGTACAATGTTTAAAGAATCCCTCAGTGCCTTCAATAGACCGTAGCTGTATTTCCCTTTTTGCAAGTTAGGTACATGATGAACAGCAACATGGAAGAAAGACTGGGAAAGAAAGCAACAGTCATGAAATGGTTTGCATGCAAAATGGCAGGGAAAACGGATTTAAGTGTATGTGAACCTATGACTACACTGGAGCTCACGGGCACATTTACAGGTTCATGGACGTTAACAGATTCCATACACATTGAAAGTAACATTACTTCAGCCGAATAAAAATATTCTTAATAGTAGATCTTTGAGCTATCTACACCTACACATGACTACTACCACTTTTTGAGAGAAAGAATGAAAGTATTCATAAACACTGGTTTAACAAATTTAAGTTCAGATAAAGAATCAAGTTTCTGTAAAAAAGAAAAGAAAAAAAAATTTATTCTCAGAAACATAGAGATTTCCTGTTGACAGGGGCATTAAATCCTTTCCCATCAGTCTTGGCTATCTAGTCCTTTCATTTCCCTTCACAGCCCCTCTAAGCAAGTGTCCAGAGTAACACCATTTACTAGTAGTTAAGTCAGTAGAATCTTGTTTTCTGTAAAAGTTCTTATGGGCGTAAATCCTAGTAAAGTTACTGCTGAGCATTTCATTGTAACACTATCTACTACTATGTGATGTAAGTTCAGTACAAATCCAGATGGTGTTTTAGAAAGATGAGTATGTATTACTGTGATGTGTGTCAGTGTTTATCATACATAAATTGCATTGATGGAAAAATAAGCTGAAGTTCTATTTCTTATGAAGCCTCTGTTTCAAAATGACTAGTAATGTGATATATTTGCCATAGTTTAATTATGACCAAAAATGGTATATATTTATTTTATTGTAACATTATTTGTGTTTAAAGGATGAGACCCTGGATTCAGAGTTTATCATTTACTTTGTAAATACAAATCCTCCTTACCTCAGATCTCAACTTGCCTTTGGATTTGAAAAATGAAGTTTTATAACTTACCTAACATTTGAGAAATTCCTTGAAATAGAACCTCTCTTAACAGCATGAAGTACTTTGCATCACTAATCTCTCATAACAGACCAACATGATAAGGTGTATATAATTAACCCTTTTTTTTACAGATCAGAAACCCAGGGCACAAAGGTCTTCATTGATTAGATAAATGTCACTCAGATTAATTAATTACTGACAGACAGTGGAATGCAGGTCCTGAGCTTCTTCTAATTGTTGACCTGCTCCCACTGGTTGCAGTAAATAAAGTAAATAATCTATGACTACATTTCTCTTTTGTTTCAATCTCTGAAGTTATAACTTGCGTGTTTAAAAAATATGGAATTTAAACTTTTGTAGAGGTACACACACACACACAAATACTTTCTTCCTACTGGTGCCAGATTTATGCTTTGAATGTTTCCTAGGATATTTAATATGTATAGAAATACTCTACCTGTGGTTTCTTTAATGTTCAATATTTTAGGCATATATTACATATACATATTA